CCACCCTAACCTATTAAATTTATAGAAAGGGGATACATATTGGGACATGATTGTAAATTTTGTTTCATTCTAATAAAAGTGGAACTTTAAATGTCTAAATCATTTCATTTTAAATTATTTGACATTATCTTCGAAATTATAAATATGGATTAAGTTAGGTTTATATGGATAAAATGTGACCTTTTTAGTTTGGTTTTGGTTTGTTTTGTTTTATGGCATATCAACCTCAATTGATTATTTAATGCCAACAAGATTTTTATTGGTGGTAATATTTTTGTTTCAAAATGTATTGCTGGTAATATATATATATATATATATATATAAACATCTATCGATATGGTGATTTCCTTTCATCTTTCAATGATAATGTTATTAAGCTTATCAAACAATATGAAAGGAACTTACTTAAAATAAACAGACAAAACTTGTCTATATTATTTAATGAAACATGTATTAATGAAAATTACTGCCTAAATAGACACTATATATATATATATATATATATATATATATATATGTAAGCAAATATATCAATATAGATCTGACAGTATGAAGAAAAATATACAGAAAAAACAAACAAAAATCCTAATATGCAATTATGCTGTTTTAATGTTAATATAATGTCAACGTCGGACGTTTCGGTCTAATAGGCCATCTTCAGGACATATTCATAAAACATAATTAACATAGATTGGATTGGTCTTGCTCTTATGTCCATCGTCTTTTTCATGTTGAATTGAATATAGTCTATGTTAATTATGTTTTATGAATATGTCCTGAAGATGGTCTATTAGACCAAAACGTCCGACGTTGACATTATATTAACATTAAAACAGCATAATTACATATTAGGATTTTTGTTTGTTTTTTCCGTATATTTTTCTTCATATATATATATATATATATATATATATATATTGGTGGGGGAATCTTTCATTTTTTTTATTTAATTTTTTTGGTTACTGAATTAAAATACCCTGGCATTCTATTGAACATTTTGCTTCAGTTTATTTAATAATTAGTTACGAATTGAAACAATGTATATGTATTCAAGTTTAGAAATCATTTTTCTTGCTATTAAATTTGTAAAACTACTCGATATAATCCATGTTAACGTATATGTACAAATATGAAAAGAATTAAAATTTTCAATAATACATGAATATTATTTAGAATGTGCCTTTTGAGACGGACAATCTTGGAAAGGTGGGGGTGACATTCGGACATATAGTGAAAAGGGTCCATTGGGCCAAAAGGTTGAGAATCACTGCTCTAGCTAGAAAAATATGTAAAAAAAATCTCTTATACATTTTGTATATTTAGGTTGTATAGGTCCAAATAAATTTCAATATAAATAATTATTCAGTAAACCAAAAAAAGTTCAAGTGATATCTGCTACACCAGGGTAGAATCCCCTGAGAGGAGGGATTTTAAGGGGTTTTTTTAAGGTTTTTTTTAAAGATTTTTTAAAGGGTTTTTTTAAAGATTTTTTAAGGTTTTTTTTTAAAGGTTTTTAAGTTTTTTTTGAAAGGTTTTTTAAAGTTTTTTTTGGGGGGGGGATTCTTTCTTTTTCCTTTTTTTTATTTAACTTTAGACTTTTGGTTATTGAAAGAATACCCTGGCATTCTATTGAACTTTTCCATCAGTGTATTTATTTAATAATTAGTTATGAATTAAGACAATGTATTCAAGTTTAGAAATCCATCAACATTTTTCTTGCTGTTAAATTTGTAAAACTACTCAATAAATATAATCCATGTTAATGTATATTCACAAATATGGAAAAAAATTAAGATTTTCCATAATACATGCATATTGTTTGGAATGTGCCTTTTGAGACGGACAATCTTGGTTAGGGTTGGTTTGATTTTGTTTTCCAATATATCAACACCTCAATGGATTATTTGATATCTACAAGATTTTTATTGCTGTTAATATTTTTCCAAAAATATATTGCTGGTAATTTTTTTTCAAAAAATGTATTGCTGGTAATAATGGATTTTTGATAATTTATTATTCAAAAATTCATTGCTGGTAATAATTTTTTGCAAAAATGTATTACTGGCAATACAACCTATTTTTTTTACATGTTTTGACACAAGTTTGGGGGTCATCTATAGCCGGGACCCTAACAGGTGCCATCACCCTGGAACACTAGCAATCAACAGGTAGTTCCACATTCCTCAAAAGCTCCCGATCAGTGGCCCTACTGTCAGATGTAGTTTAACGTCTTAGCCAGGACATGGATGTAGTTTATCATTATACCTAGGACGTGACCTTTTTGCTGATTTATGTATGAAAGATTACAGTTCAAATGTGATGTCATAGTGAAAAACAAACAATAAAAACTGATGAATCTTTGAGTTAGTTAAGATAATGATAGAATAGTGATGACCAGCATTCTAACCCTCAAATGTTGGCCTTGTGTCACATTTTCCATTTAAATAAATATCAACCTAGCTTAGAATAGGGCTGCAATACTGAGGCTCATAGTGAGATTCAAACTCAAAAAGACAAGCAAACAGTCTGCAAGATCATATTCTAAATCTTTACAATATCAATCATCTTTTATATATAAATTGTATTTCTCAGCATAATGTTTGTACGTGTGTCAACATAAGCACCTATCTATTATTATATGATAAATGTTCTGTAAATATATCATTATAAATGGTCGATTTTCCCTAGAAGTTAATGAACTATGCATTTATGAAATTGTGTGAGAGCTTACATTGTTTAAATTATCTTCCCATTTTATTTGAGTTCCAAAACCAAGAATGTCCTTCAAGAATCAGTTAATTAACAGGCGTGGTACCATACAGAATTAATTGTTAATTTTTACAAGAATGAATTGGCAAATGTATTAACTTGAAACATTTGATTAAATAGCGTGATTCTGTAGTAATCATTCGCAGTCCTGCCATTTTGTAAGACAATCCCAAAGTTATAACACATTAAAGGCTTTTTTGTTTTTAATTTTTTTTTTTTTTAACTGTAAACACAATTTATTCACATGCAAGTTTATTTTATTTTGGGTGTGTCTACTTCCTGATCTTAAGGAGGTTACAACATTTTGTCATGGAAACATTATTAGAAACAGTTTCCTACATAAAATCAAGAGCAATAAAATTAATTGTTTCACCCCATGCAAGGTAGTAAAGCCACAAAGATGCAAGAGGTTATTGAATGGGAAAAAATAAGTAAAAAGAGAAAACATTATTAAGGAACAAGAACAATAGAAGAGTAATCAAGAATACAGTAGATAATGATAGATATTGAAGTTAATTTTTTGAAGATCAAAGTTGGTTGGAAAACATGGAGCCATAAGAGAGTGCTATGAGCAAAAAGTGCAAGAAAAGAAACTGTTAGCATAGAACTTACAGTTGCATCTAACCAATTCAACTGTAAACTGATAAGATCTTGTTCCCAATCTAATACTGTGCCTAGATTCATAAAGTCTATGTATCCTGGCGGAGTAATGGATAGTGGCTCAGATTGAGGAATTGGAGAGACTAGTTCAAATTCCAGTCAAATCCTTTACATTCACTTAGGTGCTAATATCCTTGGGAAAGGTATGAATCCTCTTCTTCTCCCCCCATCTATGGGTAAATAGCAGGACAGACCGGGTTCTATAGCCTTGGATGGCAACTGGTCTACCACAGAAAGAAATGGCAACCTACTGCAGGAAAAAAATCAGCCTCGTCAGTCATGTATTGAAAGATGGATGATCGCCTAAGTGTGTATAATGCATGGCTCATAACTGACTGATTATGGTAGAGAGTTCATCTGATCAATTAACATGAAAGTATTTATAGAAAAGAAACAAGGAAGCTACACTTCAGTGATGGGAAAGTGACTGTGATAGAAAAAAATAAACAAAGACTAGGAATTAGTGCCAGTAAAGAAAAGATACTGTTATAAATAAGTAGCATCACACAATTTCCTTTATAAATATTTATTCCTTTACAACTCTTATTTGTCTTTATGCTTTTTTATCATCTATTTTCTAGTAGGTTTCTTGATAGTTTCTGTTTCACTTGTTTTCAATATGTCATGTGAGTGTTAAATTCACCAAGCCTTCTTTCTTTATTATATATCCCAAAATTCTATCGATGGTTTTGAGTAGTGGTTTCCTGGTAGATATTATTCTTAAGATTTTCTCATTCTCCCATAATCTGTCCAGAGTTTTCTCAACATTCATTCTTTGAACAACATCAATGTTGCTTCAATTCTTTTCGTTTCTGTAGCAAAATTGTCCAGCATTCTCTGCCAAGTAGAAAATTAAATTAGTTTAGCACACTTTTCTTTATTTCTAAGGATATTTTTTCATTCTTTAATACCTTGCTTAGATTTGGAAAAGCATCTTTCACTGTTATTATAAGCCTCTGGAGTGTTGTCTCACTCTTATCATCATCTCTAAAAGTAATACACAGATAAGGTTCGTCCTGTATATGATGATAAAGTACATCCATGTCCTGGATAAAATGATGAACTATGTCTAACAGCAAGGCCTCAGATCAGGAGGTTTTGAGGAGCATGGAAGCACTTCTTAATTGCTGGTGTTCCCAGGTCCATCCTGACCCAAGGTGGTAGCATCTGTTAGGGTCCCAGCTATGGGCAAATAGTTAATCGCCAAACATGAGGAGAATGTGATACTCAGTTTGAATAGAGGAAAAGAGAGACAAGGTAGTCTTGAACAAGTGGATGACAGTGTGTGGTCTGGGGGAGGTGGGAGAGTGGTGAAAGTTATTGAGAGCTCTAAGAGATAGGGGGAAGTGGATAGCCATGTTAACCTACATCTTGAAGAGATATGGCACATAAAAAGAAAAAGCAAAACTTCAATCACAAACTTCATTTAAATCTAAAAAAAAAATTGATTTTTTTCTTTTCCATTTTTCATTTCAGAACAAAGATTATCAATTTTGTGTCGCTTAAAGCAAAAACCTGATTAAACTTAATACCAAATACTTCAAAGACACAATATGGATTACTTTGATCAAATGGATGTTAAAAGTAATGTAACTAAATTCCTTCTACCGGAACATGGCGGACCCTGTGGAAATCAGTCGACTGACCATAATAATTCCATCTACATGCAAAAGGACACCGTTTCAGAGAATTCTGGTGGAGGTAAGTTTTCAAATTTTCCTAGTGAAATTCTTAAGTCGACATTTCAGACAAGCAAAGCAGAGATTTATGCTGATTGATCGACAAGTCTCGTCCTGGTTATGATGATAAACTACATCTGGCAGCAAGGAGTCTGAGTGGGAGATTGGAGGTTTTGAGGAGCAGGGTACCATTTCTTGATTGTTGTCATTCCCAGGTTCACCCTGACCTGGGGTGGTAGCACTTATTAGGGTCCCAGCTATGGGTAAATAGTGAATCTCCATCTACAAACAAAACAATAAGAAAATATAAAAATACACGTTTATAGTAAAAATACCAGCAATCCATTTTTATACAAAAAATTACTAACAATACATATTTAAAGTAAAATGACCAATGATAGATTTTATCTGTACTTGCATTCAAAACATTTAGACTTGGCTTCAAATAACCCATAGAGGTGTTGATATGCCACTAACCAAAATCAAACAAACCACACAACCAACATGAAAGAACTTTCAAGACATTGATCCATATAATATCCCACAATTACTTAATGAAATCAAACTGTATTCCAAAATATAACTTCAACAAAACTACAACATAAAACACACATATCACTGCCTCTAGTAATTATGTCCACACAAAGATGTATATGCACAAAAGCTGAGTATCATCTACCATGTATTCAATTGTGAAAGCAGAATAACATATTTTATTACTTTTAAGCTCCCAAGAAAATTACATGTTGGCTTTAAATGACCCACAAAGGACTTGATATGCCATTAAACAGACAAATCAAATTAAATAAAACTACAGGTTTACATATATCTTTTCTTCATGTTTTGCTAAAAGTACAGGGTGTCCATAAAGTTCGTGTGCACTTTAAAAATTTATAACTTTCTTTGTATTTGGGATAGAAATAATATGTAAAAAATGTTATAAAGTCTAATGTACCTAGTTCTAAGTATAGCTAAAATAACTAATGTGATTTCAGGCATTACTGTAAATCAGTTAGCAAATGTTTTCCGTGTACTGCAAAATCGTATTACTCTTTGAATTGCTAATGATGGAGGACATGTGAAAATTTCAATAAAATTTCAATAAAAACTTAAAAAATATAGATTCACTTCTTTCTAATCCTTTTTACAGATTATTTCTATCGCAAATACAAATAAAGTTATAAATTTTTTAAAGTGCATACGAACTTTATGGACACCCTGTATATATATATATATATATATATATATATATATATATGTGTGAATTTTGTTTGCTTCTTAAGTGAATGAGTGTAGAAAGATGATTATTATTAGTAATTAGAAAACAATTGTATTCAAATTGTACATTAAATTTAATTTCAATAGAAAGATTCCATCTGTACCATCATAGCCAATATCTCGGACATAAATGAAAAGATACCTTGGCTTAAGTTGTTTCAAGTTATGTCATTTTTGGTTTTTCTTATTATATGGAAAAATAAAACTTGCATTAAGTCGTTTTACTTGAGTTTACGTTGACTGTTAAGAAATATTAGAAATGCCAAAACACTAAAATAAAAATAAACACATATAAAATCATATTTAAATGAATTTAAAAATAATATTATGTATACTACATATATCATAAAATCATAAAAAACAAAAAATTATCATAATAAAGTATGTTCAGCAGATGTTCTTATTTCAAATTCCTGCTGACAGGTGGCATTCTTTCCTTGTTTTCCGCTCCAACATCAATTTTGAATTCAGACTTGTTTACATCTGTGCTCTGACATTGATGTTCTTTCAATTACATTTCATTTGTGTTTTAGAATACATTTTTGCCCATTGCTCTGAAGAATAGTCCCAATGCAAGTGCTAATGCTAACCATAAGACTATATCACTGTAAGATAAGGTGGAAATTAATTATTTTATCCAGAATATGTATGTGCACATCATAAATACTGTAAAAGACAATGGGGAGTTCTTGTTTGCAGTTTATAGTGGGGTTATTTCAACTTAAGTAATATTTCAACCTAAGTTGTAAACTCTGGAAACAATTAATGACATAGAGTGAGATTTAACTCAGGGTATGACTTCCTGGGTCCTAAGAAGGAAAGGAATATCTGCATGAGACAACAAGGTATACAAAATTCAATAATCAGTGAATTAACAACAGTGGATATGTAGAGTCAATTTAATAGAAAGAGTTTAATTCAATGATAGGCAAACTTTTTAGAATAGAAATAAAGAAATGAAAGCAAGAGTTAGGGTGTGTGGTGTGTGCAGAGTTTTATACAAGATTTTCAATCATGTCAGCAGAACTTGTATATTACTTTCTCAGAGTCAATGTGCCAATATATTCCTATAAGAAGACTGGTTCTACATGATGATTTTATAACAACAGAATGTCCACATTTATGGATAGTTTAAATATTCATTATCTGTCAAGCCAAATGCTAATAGTCCACAGAGTTGATGGTCAAGATGTCCATAGTTTGGTCCTCGAAGTTGATGGTCAAGATATCTACAGTTCATTATCTGTCAAGCCAAATGCTAATAGTCCTCAGAGTTGATGGTCGAAATATCTGTAGTTAATTATCTGTTAAGCCAAATGCTAATAGTCCTCGAAGTTGATGATCGAGATATCCATAGTTCATTATCTGTTAAGTCATATTTTCCTTTGGTTACTACCTTTACCACTCCACAAGGCAGATAAGTATAGGAGTTGACATCCAAATCACTTGACCGCTATGTCTCATTTGGTGATCTTTCAATTTTGGCACTTCGGTGTCTCTTTGTGTTCACATTATCTGTCATGAGGTTGCCATACATGTAATCAAAGATCTCATCACACCGTAATGCTGCTGGTGTGAAGTGGGGAAGTACCACCCACAAACTTTCAGCGTAAGCCTGCATGCATCAATTAAAATGAATGAGAAAAAGAAAGAAAGAAAGAAAGAAAGAAGAGATGCAATGCTTCTTCTACCTCTTCTTCAATTCATGAACCGTAGTATCATGTTACAGTACTAAAAATCCCTTTACTCACATTTTTTTAATCGCTAACTTTATCCTGTATCCAAGAATTTAATTTCTTCCTTGCTAATCGCTCTCTTTATGATCATAGAAAATCAAAGTAGAAGAAAGTGCCGATGACATGAATTTATTTAAGGTCAACTTGCTGGGAAGTGACCCACACACTTGATTTCATGACCTTCCTCTGCGGCATGTATGGAATGAGACATGCAGGATCCAGTTGAGAAACTGCAATGAACTGCCACCAATTTGTTTATAGTGGTGCCTTCTGTAGCATGTCCGTGATGTGTAGCCCTCTTCATCTGCTGATTCAACTGTTGAGACTTGTTATAATCATCATTCACTCGTTTCACTGTTACGGTCTTTGAGAGTTTGTCATGTTTAGTTTGGGTTTTCATCTTCGACCTTGCTACCAAAAGTGGCCATACTTGACAGCATTGCTCCTAGAGTCATTGAATCATCACATTTTTTAATACCATGTCCAATACAGAAGTAAATGATCAATTGAACTATGGACTATGGTAAGTTTTTCACTGACTGAACAGATTCTTCACCCTACCATGTGTTTTGGCATGAGCAAAACTGCAAAAGATTTGATGGATGTTCAACAAAGGAACTGAAAGTGAAAGAGAAAGTAAAAAATATTTTCATGTACAGGATTGTTTATTCATAGATTCAACATGCCCTTTTTTGAGGTAGGTAAGTGACACTTGGACATCTTGGCTGCTTCCACTGTCTTCTCTCTAAGCAGACTAGTGGATCAAACTTCAACTGCTGCTCTGCCTATTTCCGATTGCGACTCTACTTCATGATGGATGGCTCATGTCTTGCTTCTAACTTCCAACTCACTCTTACCTCACCTCTGCCAATCTCTACATCCTGATGGAAGGACTGTCACTCACCAATGGATGGCATCTGTCTAGCCATTGTAGAATCAGTCACTTATGTGCCATGTGTGATACACTCTTAGGCAATCATGTATCTTTCGATATATGACTGACGAGGCAGATTTCTTCCCACAGTAGGTTGCCATTTCTTTCTGCAGTAGACCAGTTACAACCCAAGGCTATAGAACCCGGTCTGTCCTGCTATTTACCCATAGATGGGTGGGGAAGAAGAGAATTCATACATCTCCCAAGGATATTAGCACGTAAGTGAATGTAATGGATTTGACTGGATTTCTTCAATCTGAGCCACTATCCATTACTCCACTGTGCCTTCTCATTTTTTTAGAATGCTGCTTTCTTATAAGACCACAACCAGAAATGCCTGTCTTCCAGTTTAGTGCCACTTGATCCCAAAAGTTTTCATTTATTTAATTCCTTTGCCCCTAGTAAATGGTTGCTTTGAAATTTGTTCATCTTGTTTTTACTGGAAGTCATAAAACAAAGTCATTTCAAACCCAGATAAAATCATTTACAGGCTACTTGACCATGTGTGAGCCCTAAGCCAATTAAGTGGGGGGCTGATTATGTCACTATTCTCCACAGATTCCTTTTATTTATTATCTTTTATTATATTATTAGCTTACAAGCCACACACCATGCAGACTTTTAAGCTTGTTCTGCAGTGGGTTAATTGTACCTTCAGACCAAAAGGAAAGAGATCTCTGGTCTAACTTACAAAACAGCAATGATAATTTTGAAGAAATAACTTTGAATTCCATAATTCACTCCATGGAACTTCAAAACCTCTCTTTAACTCTGATTTGGGTTATAAGTCCAATTTGAGTTGAAACTTCTTCAAATCACAAACACTGTAAAACTTCAATTGAGTTAAGTTCTTCAAATCAAAAACTCTGTGGAACTTCAATTGAGTTGAGTTCTTCAAATCGAAACCTCTGTGGAACTTCAAAACTTAACATCATGAAACCTCTCACTTTAATTCAGATTCTTTGGAATTTTGAATAAATAAAATTGATTTTTTCAATTCCCAAAGTTTTGAAGATATCTTAAACTGAATTTAAAACAAAAAATCTAAATTCCGAAGCTTTTTGTATTGCCTTA